TCTGGGTGCGATTCTGTCCTTCCCCTCAGGACTCGGTTCCTCATCTCCCATATTTTGGGCTAGGAGATGCTCTGACTTGGGGCATCTCTGAAGGGCAGCGCGAGAGCAGCACAGCAGCCGTCAGACTGCTCCAGCACGGCTGTGAATCCCAGCCAGTAATGGAAGAAAAAGATTTCTGTTTAGGCTTCTCTTAAGTCTGTTCTTTTTACTAGTAATTAAAATGGCATTTTCTCTGCCATCTGTAGGATTTTAGAAGATGCAGTTGAGCGATCTGTCAACAGCCCTAGTTGCAGGGAGGAGGAGAAAACACAACAAAAAGACTGACTGCTTCTCTGACCAGAACCGGAACAAATGGAAAATGCCAACCCTTGCAAAAAAGGGTCCGTTTGCCCTTGCAGGCTCTTGTCACACAAATGGTTTTGAAGGGAAATAATATCTTTTAATATTAATTCCTTTGAAGAAGAAATTTCATCCAAACATTTCACATGGGAAATATGACCTTGTATTAATTAACCTTGTATTAATTAGAATAGTTAAAAATCCATTTTAACAAAATTGATTTGCTTCATGAGAAGATTTTTTTAATCCTTTGAAATGGTGGGCTTTTTTAAATTCACTAGCTTTGAAAAATTATTTACTTTCTCTTACATCTATCTCCTTTCTTAGCTGGTTTTTTTATTTTTTTTTTTTTAATATAGTGACTGATTTTTGTAGAGCTCATCTGCTGGAAACTGTTAATACCTGCCAGGCTTCAACAACCCGTCAAAACTGAGCACTACCAAAAGTATCTGTGTAACAATCATCTTTTAGGCAGTAATTCAAATCACGCACACAGAATTAAGTTGAAAAAGGCTGCAGTTTTGATATAATACAAATATGTGTCCTTTAGGAGTAAAATTAATATGTGAAAACAGGCAGGAGAGGTAACAAAATCATGAAAAGCCTCTACTTAAAAATGGGCGATGATCCGAAAAAAAACAGATTTGAGTCTATGTTTGTTTTATAATCGTATAGAAGAGGGAGGAAGAAGTCTTTCGAAAGCACATGTATTGTTGCCTGAATAATTTAAGACTTACAAAATAGATATTATCAGCTTCAGTAGCTAATCACTTTGAATATCCTGACGCAGAAGTTTTACCTGAATATATGTGCTCATCATTTTGGACAAACATGACAGTCATGCTGTTGTAGCGAGTGCAGGATTGAAAAAAACCATTGCTAAATGCCATACAACAACAGAAGAGGAAAAAAACTACTCTAAAAATATATTAAAATCTAAGTACATAATTAATGTGCCCTTGTGGCCAAGAAGGCCAATGGCATCCTTGGGTGTATTAGAAGGGATGTGGTTAGTAGGTAGAGAGAGGTTCTCCTCCCCCTCTACTCTGCCCTTGTGAGGCCGCATCTGGAATATCGTGTCCAGTTCTGGGTCGCTCAGTTCAAGAAGGACAAGGAACTGCTTGAGAGAGTCCAGCGCAGGGCCACAAAGAAGATTAAGGGAGTGGAGCATCTCCCTTATGAGGAAAGGCTGAGGGAGCTGGGTCTCTTTAGCTTGGAGAAGAGGAGACTGAGGGGGGGCCTCATTAATGTTTATGAATATGTAAAGGGTGACTGTCGTGAGGATGGAGCCAGGCGCTTCTCACTGGCATCCAATGACAGGACAAGGGGAAATGGATATAAGCCGGAACATAGGAGGTTCTGCTTAAACATGAGGAAGAACTTCTTCCCAGTAAGGGTAACAGAACACTGGAACAGGCTGCCCAGAGAGGTTGTGGAGTCTCCTTCTCTGGAGATGTTCAAACCTGCCTGGACGCGTTCTTGTGTGATCTGATCTAGCTGGTCCTGCTCCAGCAGGGTGATTGGACTAGATGATGCTTTGAGGTCCCTTCCAATCCCTAACATTCTGTGATATGCATGCAGAGGGGTGCATGCTTTAGGGCTGCCCACAGAAAAATGGAGGACAACCAAGAAACAACAAGGCAGTGTTGATCACCTCCGCACACTCACAGGAGGAAGGGCAGGAGGGCAGGGAGGAAGGGGCTAAAAGCAGATGCAAAGTCACGGATACTCAGAAGCACAAGTCAAAGTAGTGGTGTGGATGCAGATATAGTAAGAAATCGGGAACTCAGCCCCAAAATGATCAGAGGGGTAGTCAGGGCCACTGGTTTTATAAGCATTTAAGGGCAGAAACATGTGTCAGTAAGGGCTAAGATGGATGTGGTCATGGAAGGTGAAGTCACAGAAAAGCAATGTTAAAAATGAAGGGAAGAAAAGCAAGAAACAGGAATTGAAACTGAAGAAAGTTGAACGGAGTAGCTGAATGCTTGGCAGACAACAGCAATACACAAGGGCACAAGGAGATAAGGCTCTTCTTTGAGCAACGCTACACCTGCTGCAGCCAAGATCAGATGACGAAAGGAGCAGAAGCAGAAGCCCAGCCATAACTCCAGCCATGGACTTGAGAGCCAGCCTCACGCTCCATGGAAGGGCAGGAAAAGACAACTGCTGCAGACAGTATCAGGTGAAGGAATCAGGTGTGAGAGTTCTGGATGTTGCTGAGGGAATATGCAGACAGTATCAGGTGAAGGAATCAGGTGTAAGAGTTCTGGGTGTTGCTGAGGGAATGGAATACACAAAGTTCAGGAATAACTCTTTCTTTCCTTTTTTTTTTTTTTAAAGCCAAAAAGAGGACACTCATGATAAAACAAATAAAAGCAAGAACCAAGGAACAAGGGTGGAAGTGGGGAGAGCTGAAGATTATATATAACAATGGTGAAATTGTGCAGAATTTCCTGGATAAAGAAAGAAGAATCACTTCAACAGTCATCAAACAGATATTTGGCTCAAGACGTTACCCATCATTTGCCAATTCAGCTAATACGTTTATCAGGTTTTCATAGAGGAACAAAGACACATTTAAGAGCAAAAGTTAGAAACAGAGGAGCAGCAGAGGCACAGATGGGATGGGATTGTTGAAAATCCCCTTTGATCAGTAACCCTAGGGATGAACTTGCAGGATTCCTCATCTATTTCATGAAAGGGATAATAGTTTAAAAGGAAGAAGGGGATCACAAATACATTATTACATCCCAAGAGCAGCACTGTGGGAGAAGGATGAAAAGGGAACGAGCCAACCCAGTTTGCATCTCCTCTTTTCTCCGTTGCAAGTAATGACAAATCACCTGCAATTCTGAAAGCAGAAAAATCTGAAAGCACCTCATCTGCAAAAGTAAAAAAAAATAATTAATAAACAAAAGGTATCGCGGCATAATCAATGAAGTATCCAGACAGATAAGAATCTGTCACTCAAGTATTACAACCTCTTAGGACTGGATTAACCCTAGAAAAGGGAGGGATTTTATGCCTTAGTTTTACACACTTCAGGCAGAAGGAGATTGACATTGCCATCAAAATAAGTTGTTCCAGTGTTCCTCTGTCCATTTATTCTCTTCTCCACATTGCTCCTTCCTCTGTACAAGCTCGGTACAAGCACTCCTACAGCTGCACAGCTAAATCAGATGAGGAAATGGAGAAAGAGGGTTTTCGGTTTTGTAGAAGTTGTTTGCTTGCTTGGCCTTTCCTCCCACCACCCCCGAACTGATTTTAACGTGGATCCATTTCCTAGTGTGGTTTTCACTATGGACACAACAACTCTTCTGTTGCTGCACGGGATGGGAATAAGCAGCCAGGAGCAAGACCACCTCCTTCAGCGACAGCACTAGATAACGTCAGGTTAAAGGGACGCTGAAACCCTGGCCTTTAGGTGTCTTGCCTGAGGACAAGTGCCTAACACAGAGAAATTGTTAGGGAGCTCTTGCCATGAGCATAATCCTGTGCAGTGGAATGACACTCCTCCACCAGCCGAGTGCTCCACTTAGGTGATGTGTACTATGAGGCAGAACCAAGGCAGTTTGCAGGTGAAAGCATGTGGTGTGTCCTCTTCCCTGCTGTGAAGCTGGAGCTTCACTCTCTAGGTGTGCGTTAGGGTTCACATTCTCAGGGTCACGCTCACACATGAAATTATGTATTATGTACCCCACAATCTAGATTTTATTCCCAAATATTTTCAAATGCAGCTCTAATCGAGAAATCACAAATGTGTGGTGTTACCTAAGAGCTTGTCTCTTCTCTAAGTATTTCACGTTGACACAGACGTATTTTACTAAACAGGAAGAATGCATGGAGAATTCACTTTAATACATGTTTATTGGTGTCCTGCACTTTCAGTGTAGGAGGTTGGAGATGTAATAAAAAAGTTTCAAAATTTATTGATTCCATTTCATTTAAATCACTCTAAACAACCAGTGCTTTAGAGTTCAGAGAATTAACGTTTACCGTCCATTACAAGCAAAATTTTAATATTACCTTTTTTGAGTCCGCTTAGAACTCCTCTCTTTTAAAATTCTTTACATTCCTCAAAGTAAACAATACATTTCAATCTCTGTCACAATCAACATTGATAAGGCCTTCTTAACCATTTTATACCACCTCCACTATTACTTCATTGCAAAACACAATCTTATTTCATACTATAAATATCCATCCATGCACAAAACACAGGGGCCAGAAGTTACACATTAATATTTCATGTAGGCTTCCAAGACTTCCTTTACCCTCTGCAGGTTTATGGTACACTTAAAAAGATATCTTTAGACTTGGTCTACTTGGTCTTAAAATACAAATATACAATATCCATAAGCATAAAAAAGTAAAGCTAGATTGCCTTACCATTTGTTATGAACTGCTAAAATCTTATACATGTACAATATAGCATCATGCTGATTAATATACATATTAGTTAAATATATCAACCAATAACGGGGATGTGGCCAAGCTTTTTTGTTTTGTTTTCAAAAAGAAATTGTTCATATACAAGTAAAAAGATTTTTAATTTAAACTCATATGGAACACCTGAACCACACAGACGTGTAAACCCTGCTGAGATATTCAGGTCAAACTGGGGAATAACCTGCTGATTCACTTGAAAGGGATCGCAACTCCTCACGGGTGATACCCAAGGTGTGCTGTTCCCAAGAGAATGCAAATTTGCCAGCATTCACGTTTTCAGGTCTAAACCACTAATTTTTGCACCTTACACCTCGGTTTATACTTTCTGTATCTATTCATCATCCTCCATCAGAAACATTCGGTACCTTGACATTGTCTTAGACTTTTCTAAATAAGTACATATACAGTACAAAGTGTAGATAGTGAAACAAATAAGCACATATATACAGTCTTTGAAAGGCATTTTTGTGACCATTTTAGCAGTGTTTATGGAAAACATTTAAGATAGTCACGTTCCGCTGATACCACTGTATTGCAAACTGTCAAGCCACATTTCTTATATTAAACTTGTACTGCATCATATATTGTACAACAGAAGAGAAAACGATCATTCTTAAGGTGTGACACAATGAAAAAAAAAAAAAAATCACTAGACTGAGTAAGGTAACCAGCACAGGGCTTAATTTTCCTGAGGTTTGTAAGAATTTTTTAAACAAAAATCACAGTGACCAGGCTAAACTGCAAACATACTGTTAAGTTTTAAATATACAGTTTATACATAAGTTCTGTGCATGGTCGACTCAACTGTGGATGTTCACATGGATGTTTCCTCTAAATGACTCGCCACTGCATAATACTTGTATCTTTTCCACCTGTGGAGATGAGATGGGTGTCTTCACAGAGAAAATCGACGTTAGTTACATGACTACTATGTCCACCGTACACGTGGCTTGGAGCCTAGAAAACATCATATTAGTGAGAATATAAACTGTCATGAAAACTTACCATCATAACATTCATACAACAATGAAATCAAGGCATCGCATCATTCTCTTGAAGTGTTTTAATATTAGATTATATTTCAAATTTAATTGTAGTCTCAATCAACCTGAAGTAAATCCCTTAGGCATAGGCACATTCCCATTCTTTTTTTTTGTTTTTGTACACAGAAAAACAACATTTAATGTATTTGTGCAAGTTACAAGAGTAAATTTTTTTGAAATATCTTACCCTAAACTGTGAACATGGATATGAGAAGAGGTGTACTTTGCCAAAATCATCCCCTGTTGATAGCAGTTTTCTCCCGTGAGATCGACAGACAGCGTTGATATCTGTTCCATCTGAACCTTCAGGCCATACACCTGAAACACAGAGGGACTAATTAAAGGTTTTTATCATGGAAATGAAAAGTGACAGCTTAAGTTTTTGTTAAAATATTAATAAAGGATTACTTGTTTAAAAAAAAAAAAAAGAAAAAAGATAAAGCTATAAAAATAACTGCAGCTGAGTCAACATGCATACTTCAGTTTCAGCAAAAGACCAGATCCTGATAGGAAATCAAGCACATAAACAAATACTATATTTCCTCTAGTCAGCAAAGCACTTTTTACTCTGAAAACAAGAATTCTGCTGAATTATTATCATGTGTCTGAGCTTAAAAGAATTTTCAAATGGTTGTGTAGAAAAATAATAGCTACTGCTTTTATTTTCCCTTCCATTTAATCGATGTACAAGCTAACATACTTTCTTCATACTACTGTAGTCTAAAAAACTACCTATGTATGATTCAACATACTTTCTTCATATTACTAAAGTCTAAAACCTTTGACACAAGAAATTATGTAGTTTTAAATGTTATTAACAGATCCCTCAAAAAGAAACTGAACCTACTATAAATTTTTAAAATGCTTTTGTTTTGCCGTAAGTAATTCTTGTCCTTCCTCACGTACTCTACTCCTTGCTGTTCCTGCACAAAGTGGTGTTCTAAAATTAAACTGTAGGCTCATCAATGCAAGGACCAAATCTATGCAACACATCTTTAAAGCCTCTGAAAACTTGCCCGTAATAAACAGTAATTGTAACAAAATCCAGTCAGTTATTGAAATGTCTTTTTTTTTTTTTTTTTTGTATGTGGTGCTGTGGAGGGTTTTTTATGATTTTTGAAATTCAGATTTTATCTAATCCCCACTCAACTTAAATGATACCTAACTTTCAGAGACCACTGACATAATCAGTTGTAATGTCTGTTCTGCCGTTACGATTTGGCAAAAAAAACCCCACCTTGTCTTGGCATTATGATGATTGTCCCTATGTCACACATCCTCTGCAGTGTCCCCCTTAAGTCCTACTACACGAATGCATGCTCTTCCTTCATTGTTATTACAGGCCAGGATGAGACAACACGAATGCATGCTCTTCCTTCATTGTTATTCCCCCTGCTTGCCCTCCCATCTCCTGGAAGGATGCCTATGCCAGCTTCCCTTCTTTGGGCTACTGATAACATCAAAGTGGGCATCTGTCCTGCGCTGTCGAAACAGCCAGCCTTTGATCCACATGTACTTCGTCCCAAATACAATCTTTACACCATTGCACAGCAGTTCAAAAGCACTAAGAGGAAGAGATTCCATGTCTTTATACAGAATTACAGATTGTTGTAAATAAAATGAAACACAATGTACTGATTTGTGGGATGCCCCTAACTCTCCAGGTGTGTGTGGAAACACCTTTGCTAATGCAGGGACATTGAAAAAGAGGCAGGGAAGAAAGAAAAGGAAGGTGCAAAGAAGATACATGGTAATTGCTACTCGTGGAATTATGAACACGTGTAATGGAGATACACAGAAAAGCTGTTTTAAGTTACTTTGACAAAAAGGGAGGCTGTATGAACATCAAATGCTAGCTGAAAAGAGGCAGGAGTCTTTATGACAAGCTGGAAATAATCCCTAAAGGAAACAGTTTAAGAAACAAGACTGCCATTTTGAAACGGGTAAATGATCATATCAGGGCGGGGTTTTTTTTGAGACTGTGCTCTTTCAAAATTTATTCCAGTGCCTCACTGTTAGTTTTTCTGAATATGTGAACTGAATCTCGTTTGCTGAAAAGTAAGTTCATATTTTTTTTCCCCATTCTCTGCAGACATGGAAAAAGAGGCTGCTTCCTTTCTTTGATTTGAAGATTAATGTCATGCCTTTTTTCTCCTCCTCTTCTCTAAAATTCATTCATTACATCTCACAGAGCAATATTTAGATAGATAATTACACTTGCTAGTCAGCACGTTATCTGTTGGTCCAACGTGCAAAAAGCAGAAACAGCTATTCCAGCTGTGACTGAAGCAGATACTGATAAAAGGACGATTACTTCCCATTTTGCATGGCATCCTTTTCATTACATATCCTGCTAATGCATCTGCTTTTTCTACAGCCTCATAATGCTGTTGATTCACGTTCAGTTTGCCTGCAAGAATAACCCGATCTTTCTGTGCAGATCTGCTCTCTTGCCTGTTCTCCTCCATTCTGTATTTGTACCAACTGGGTTCTGCTGTTCAAGTGTGCAACCTCCTATTTGTCTCTACTGAATTGCCCCTTTTCTCTCACCATTCCTCTGTTTCTCCAGACAATTTGCTAATCCTGCCGCTTCACACCACATACGAATTACACACACTGTTTTGTCATCCATGCTATTAAAAAATATATTCAAACATAACATTCAGTGTACAGCCTTCTAGTAAGTTTTGAACTCAATCAGTCTGAGCTCTGCCTTGCTTGCAATGTTTTCAGGCTTTGCACAGCATCTTAGCTTTCTTCTGTTCCTGCCCTTCCCCTCAAATATTAGTTTTTCCAAAACTGGACATGTGATATGACCTGATGCCTTGGTTGCATATCCAGCAGCACATGCCTTTTGCAAGAGCACACAGATCAGTAAGTGTTTTAAAGTCTTTAGTCCTTCACATTTACATGTCTTTGTATCACTACAATATCCTCCATTGGACACGCTTTCCATGCTGTTGATTTCCAGTTGAATCACCTCTAAACATTTCCAGGCTGACTAATCTGTTCCCACCCATGAAGACAGGTGTTCAACAGATCAATGTTCCTTTCCCCGCTGCATTGGTTCTGTTGCTCTGCGAGTGCTATGCACACTATTTGTGATTTTCATGTGGTTCTACCACAGTGAGAAGACATCCCTAGTTTCAGTCAGCCGGTAGCTACTGAAAAAAATCAATATACTAGATGCCTCACATCCTTGATGATGTGATTGCTTCTTCCACATCCAGTGGGGCAATCCCAGCAAACATTTAAAGACTGTTCATACTGGCTGCTCTGAGGTCCCAAAGTACTGAATAGTAGAGTGACTTCCAGCATTACCAGACTGGTTCCAATTTATAATTTATTAGTTTCTTCAATTTATTATTCTAGCCACTAACTATTCCCTTTATCCTCTCCTTACAGGCACTGCAAAAGCGCAGAAGCGGCAAAAGCCAAAGCGCAAAAGCCCTTCTTTCCAGCTGTCCCTCACTTTTATACTGGGCATGACGCTGCATGATATGGAATACTAATTGGCCAGTTTGGCCCTCAATCTTAAGTTCCACCACAAATCACAAGGGGAATCGTGGCCCCCTTGTCCCGGCTATGCTCCCCCCTTATCCCGCCATGCTTCTGCACTCCGGCCAGAACACGGCACACTGAAAAGTCCTTGGAGTTTCATTTCCAACCACAAACATCAGCTTGCTATCAACATTCTTTTCCGAGCAAGCCTCTGAGTAAAACCAAAACACGGAGCTCTTCTAACTGCTAAAAAGAAGAGCTAACTCTGTCCCAGCCAAAACCAGGACAGACGGTAAGTATATGATTCCACGATGTTGCATTCATTCTTCTGTTTTTCCAGTATCTAGCCTGTTCTCTCTGAGGTCCTGAAAATAAGTACTAATGGCCTTGAGATTATGCTAACCAGTCGTTTTAACAGATACAACAAGGTTCACCACACTCAGATACTTTGAAAATATCTAACTCCTAACTATTTTCTAATCTCTTCCCTCCCTACTGAAAGCAGATGTCTTATCCTTTCATTACTGGCACTAACTGGGTTAGTCATCAGATCGTAGTAGGTCTTCTAATGAAGACATATTAAAAAAAAAAAAAAAAAAGTTTTTTTTAAACACTTCAGCTTTAGCAGTGTCATCTTTCCTCTCTCTCCTCTCCGCATAGCAGACAAATATTGTCGTTGGCACTTCTTTTATTACTGTACTTGTCACTTGCTTTTATGTTTAGGTTTTTGTTTGTATGGCTCCTTGGTCCTCCAACACACTTTCTACTTTGTGCATTCCTCTTCCTTGTAGGAACAGTTCAAGCAAGTTTGTGTCTTGCTGCCATTTCTATCTTTCCTCTGGGCTGACAGTTTGTGCCCTTTGTACCTTTTAAGGAATTACCACATCTCATCTTTTCTCCAACTTGTGATCTTCCCTAACAGGGCTTTGGACTTTTGCAGTTTCCCTCCCTAAGTCCATTATTTTCATTTTGTTGCTCTTTTTTCTTCCTATACTAAGGATCACATCTCCCTGATTCCATAGTCATTCCTATGCAGGTGCATTGACATTCTCAGTAAGTTCTTTCCATCTCCCATCTCCCCAGAATCAAATCTGGAAGAAACTCCCCTCTAGGTGCTTATCTATCCTGTATCAGAAGAATTTTGAGAACTTGCTGGTTAGCCAGTGTACTTGCAATGCCTTTCCTAAAAGACATTGGAATATTTAAAATCTCACATCCTCAGAAATTCCTGTGATTTGACTGATTCTGCTAGCTATTAAAACAAATTCCATTCATTTGATCTTTCTGGAAAGACAAGCAACAGCATAACCCTGCCACCATTAATATTCTTTTTTTCATCTAAAGTTATCACGTGTTTGTAACTTCCTAGTCTAAACCTAACTATATATGGCATGATGTTGCATATTTTAAAAAGTTCCACCACTTAGGCATCACACATCCTTTCTGATTAAGTTATATCCTTTTACTTCAAAATTCCATTCATTCGATGAACATTCTCGCAATCTCTATTACATTACTAAAATAATAATTGTGATAATTATTAAAACTAGCAACTACTTTTATTTATTCCTCATCCCTGATGCTTTAGCTTATAATATACCAGTTCAGCCTGGAGGACTGTAAGTATAAAAAAAGTATACGATGTTTCCACATGTTCCCCATTGGCCCAGTAGATCATTTTGTTCCACAGATCTGCTCCAAAAGCTGATCTGTTCCAAGGGAGAAAAAAAACTCTCTCGGGTGTGACACCCCTCTCCTACCAGACTCTATGCACCACAAGCAGCTCTGTATTTTATTAGCACTATACTTTGCATTAATCCAAGTTCTCAAGCAAAGAATACACACTTAAAGAATTCATCATTTCAGAATATCTGAACCTCCGATGCCAAATGCAAAGACTTCATGGCAGTGTGTCAGGTATACCGAAACTCCAGGAATATGTTAATAGTTCTGTAAGGGTCTTCATCCCTCATATGAGAAACATCCTCAGTCAATATGCAGACAGTCTTCAAGGACTTCCACCTTTTACTAAACAGTGTGTGGTAGTGATACTCGAGCCCTGCCTGTCAGTTAAATTTTAGAAAATTTGAGTGTTTCTTCCCAGCGTATTGCTACTGTCATTATGTCTTCTAGGCTCTAAAAACATGTCCTTTCTGGCTTTTTTCAAACACATCACTGCATCTACTCTACTTGAAACCTGGTGAAAATCTTCCTTGCTTACTTTTTATGCTAAACCAGACTCTTCTCTGAATTTCTACCACGGCTTCCTATTTCATCTTCAGGACTGAAGAGTTTGAAGCTTCTTGTACTCAGCTTTTGTAACGATCTGTCTAGTTCTGCACATGTTGTGGTATGAGTATAAAACTTCAGAGCAAACTGGGGAAAGCAGCTCCTTCAAAACTGGCAGAAGAGAAGTCCCATGGAAACAAACCATCCTGATTTTGTTACATTTTTCTTCTTTCTTCTTGCATTCCTCTCACCTCATTTAGTTGTTATATATTGTATTAAAATACATTGTAAGTACCTAATGACAGGTACTTTCACTTGTTTTGTGTTTGCACAGTAACTGCTGCAAATGAAACTGGTTCTGGTAAGGGGAGTTGGCCCAGCAGCTGCCTAAATGAACGATAATTCCACAGAATAGTATTTTAAATTTAAAAAGACAAGAAGCAGCTCTAATGTGACGGAAAGGGCAGTGTGTGATTTCTTCCTTGTCTCCCACTTATGCTGCAATTTAATATTTATACTTGAAGCTAGCAAGAATATTAAATCAGAGTCTTTCTGGATTGAAATAAGAGGACAGATTGTAATAAAAATGGCAAAACAGAAGTTCTGTATCTTTCCCTGAAATACGAAGTCATGTTTCATAAGAAAAAGTTGACGATCCAAGTGTTTGTTAATAACAAGAATGGTAAGAACTTGTAAGAGGAAAGATACTTACCAAAAACATGGAATCCCAAAGTACAGGTGTAAGTGGCCCATTCTATATCTCTAGTTGTTTCAACACTCACGACTTGTTTACAAGCAGAGGGGATCCCTACAGAAGAAAAAAAAAAACAACCACATGATAACGTTTGGAATTCTCAAATTGTATAGCTTTTTGATTGCACCAGATGAATCAAAGCATATGGTCTGTCTTGGCAGTTACATAGTCTCATTTAAATTTTAAATCTGTATTAGACTGCCTGAACTTGGTACAAAAGGACTAAATATAATTCTTACTCACAGTATAAGATTTCATAGTCTCCTGAATTAGACACAAGATATTGTGAATTAACAGACCAATCCAGATGAGTAATGAAGCTGGAATGACCCTACAAAGAGAAAAATATTGTATCAACTGTACTAACAGTATCTCTTAATGTGACAGTATTAATACAATGCTACAAAACATACTTGTTAACATTGAACCAGGAGAAAAAAGGTTACTTACTGAACATTTGCCAATTCTAGTGTACTTTCTCCCATTTTCACTTACGCCATATATATAAATACAGTTGTCATGGGAACCTATTGCCAAGAAGTTTCCATCTATAAACACAAAAGTGAACTGTAATTATTCCTGTAAGAAAGAACTCAGGCTAATTTTGAAAAGTGTGTGTTTCACAGACAAGGGGAACTGTTCTTAAAGGCCTTGATACTAAAAAGATAAAATCCTATTTTTTCTTTTTCAGTTGCATATTGATGCATATTTCAAGATTACAAACCAGCAAGTTTATACAGCAAATATTACTGTTAAAAACACATGACATTTCTGGAAGCAGCTACAGACCATTTAGGGCTAAGCTGATTGCAACATGCAACAACCTGTGCAGTTAATTCTTTTTTTTTTTTTTCCTTCCCAGTGAAACCATACTGAGCATGTGGAGGAGGGAGGGAGGAAAAGAAAATTAGAGCTCAAGACACCACCCATTCAGTGTTGCCAATGTTTCATGGCATATTTATTTTCAACTTCAGTATGGCAAGTAGAGAATTATTTTAAAACAAACCAACTCCAAATTTAATAAAAAAAATTCAATTTTTTTTTTAACCAATAAATGAATGCTCTCAAACCTGGTGAGTAACGCATTACAGACAGCTGTTCATTTCCATCTGTGTGTACAGTGACCAAGTCTTTTGTTTCTGTGTCAAACACAAACCACCTGTTGTAAATACAGAAAGAGGCCAATAAATCATTCCATAAGGAATATAAATGTACTGTAATCTTGACCAACTTTCCTTCTGTCAAAATAGCATAAGTTTTACACCAAGAAAAGAAAAACAGCAACTGCTCCTCAGTTTGGTTTATTTTTACTTTAACAGAATGAGAGTGTCTTTCCCATGTTTTCAACCAGAAAAATGATCAGACATTGACCCTGTTATCAATCTTCAGATTTTAGTCTGCTTTACTATGTGTCATGCATTAGAATAAGCGTTACATATAACGACTCTTCTCCTTTAATGACCCTCCTCTGTGCTATGCTGATGTTTAAACTGATGCCTACATGAAATCCTAGAGCAAAGGAAAACACAAGCAGGAATCAGGGCCACTCTTTTGATGGAAGGATTAGCTTTATTTATTAATTTATTTTAAGTTAAATAATTTCTTAATAAATTTATTAATTTTAATGAGCCAAAATTTAATTTGCAGAAATGTGTAGAAAGCACAAAGATAACATTTGTGTTTCAATACTTGCATTAAATTATTAAAGACAAAGTAAAGATTCCTCTCAAAGCTTCTCCTTTTGATTTGCTTTCTATAGTAAATAAAGTAAATTTAGTAACTAAAGTAAATCCTTTATTTATGATAGATGTACAATCCTAAATAATCTTGGCTTAAAACCTATAAACATTCTATATACTCTCAGTTAAGTGGAACCGTTTTCAATACTAACAGCAAAGTCTGCCCTCAAGTGACATGACAGAGGATGAAGTTATGGTGAAGGCATTCCTTTTTCCAAGGACAGACAACCAAGGCTAAGCTCAGGATCTGCTGTTGACTCACGGTGTGGTCAAGGGCTCAGTGTACCCTGTAAAATGGAGATACTATCTTTCGCCTCGGTTTTGTCTGTCTTGTTTACACCTTATGCTCTTCAGGCAGAACAAGTCTCTTAATATGCATTTTTACACTATGTCTAGCACAGTGGAACATTTGCCAAATTTTTGTTAAAGCCTCTGGTTGTCACTGCATCAGAGATAACAAACACTTGCTAGATTTTTCCAACGAGCAACTTTTTTCTATGTGATTTCGCCTACGCCACCCTACAGGTCTCAGAGAAGATCTCCGTACGCATCCGCAAAGTCAACTCACTACCTCAAACTCCCTCTTCAGCCTCTCCTTTGCCACGATGGACACAAAGATTCAATATTTAGGTCACTGGTATGGTGACAGCACCTCCCACGCATGGTCTCACGTTTAACCTAGACTTCCTGCCCGGTTCAAATCCATCTCCTCCCATTAATCTTAGATTGCTGCTCTCCTGGGGCAGAAACCACCTCTTCGTTCTGTGTTCATGCAACGCTCAGCAAACACAGGGTACTGGTCCAAGTCTAAGGTTTCTAGGCACTAAGGCAATAAAAATAAATTTCATACTGAAATTCAAGAGAAATCAATAGGGGATGAATATATGTCATGCATACATCTGCAAAAGAAGAAAACAAACTTCAAAATGAGCTGGAAAAATAATGCAGTGCTTGGTGGTGCCCAAGGTGTAGCTCCGTGCATCTTACCTTCCAGTCAGCGTCCCTACTGCAACGACAGATGCTGAAGGATGAAAACCTGAAGACTGTGCTGGATCCTAGAATGTTTCAGAAGGAAGCACAATTTTTTACCAGTCCAAGTTATAACAAAAACACAGTTCAATTATTTGCCTTAGGAACAGAATAAGTCTGTCTTGTTGATTTTTTTGTTGGTGTGTTTTTTTTTTTTAAATACAAACTTGAAGGGAAAAAAAGCATTTTTAACTACTTGAAATTCTACCCGACAGATTTTTTTTTTTCCTCCCTCTATACAAGGTCACTGTTTTCTTTTCTTCACTATCTAAAAATAACTTGGCAAACGATTTGATAACAATAACATAACTTATTTAATTAGAGCTGACCTAAGAATTAAGTATCAAAGCTACAATTTTCCTACTGTCTAACGGACAAACAAGTACATTATTCGACAAAGGTATGTATCGCCTTGCATGGAGGGGTAAAACCTAATTTCCACACACACCAACACCCTTTTCAGCACCTGCCAGTTGCAGCTTAGTAGGAAATTAAGGGCATAACCTGAGTTTCTTATTTTGATATGCAATTTTAAAACATTTTACTTTGAATTGTGCATTATTATGGAGACAGGTAGAATTGCAATGTTTTTCTTGCAGTTTAAAAATAGGCCTAAAAAACAAAGCAAGCATTTTCTTTCTAATACTTGCTCAGTTACAAAGAATGAACTCCAGAACTCTTCAGGTTATAGCAGAAAGTCCCAAAATAAATAGCTTATTTTTTCTGATACCTGCCCAAAATAATTTTAAAATGTAAGCAAAAAATTCACTATAATATCCCACAGAAATGCTTATGTCCTTGATTTTCCTTACTCTAAAATAGTATCACATTGTAGTAATTTTAGTAAACCTGTTCACATTTTTAGTAATTTGTAATTATTAGCTCTAGAGACTAGGTGTAAGATACATTCTCATTAATTTTAAACAAGTGACTAAGTCAAAGACGTTACTAATTCTAAAAAAATTTCAGAGAATCAGTGAGATCCAGGATTTCTATATGCATGTTCTAAACCACTACAGTAGTCCAGAAAGGCAAATTTGCTTATTTTTTAAAAGTATAATTTCATAGTAAATGCTAAAATCTTCTCTTGAATAAACCAGAAGTTCAAACGGTGAATTTAAACTGGGCACTAACTTGTATTCATAACTGCATTTAAAAGCTTTTACATAGATCTCTGTGACAAAAAAAAAAGGTTAACATGAAATGATTTATTTACTCCAGATAATCAGTCACAGATTTATGAAACAGTCTGAGACATTGCAAGTGGTTAATAGGAGATTTTTGTCAAGAGTGATAACAGAAATCTTGTCTTCATGAAGCAGTGTGTACATGGAGGGGAAAAGAAATAAACATAAGTCTAGTTTTATAGTCCCACTGCTATTGCCATCAACCTTTTCAAAAGACTCAGGGTTAAATGAAGCAGTTCCTTAAACATTTCAATAACAGCAGTTTCTTAAAAAGTGTCTTATATTTGCAAAACCACAGCTAAATATTATTTGAAGCTCATTGTAAGTCATCATCGGCTAAACGCCAGTTCTGTTTTTCAGAGGACACAAAGGATAATTTGGAAATTATGTGGAAATTATGTCCTTTTCTAAATTGATGATTACTTAAGTAACTTTATTTCTCAGATAGCAATTTATCTGATTAACAGATCCAGGGCAGCATCCAAAGAAGCGTGGCCAGCAGGTCGAGGGAGGTGATTCTGCCCCTCTACTCTGCTCTTGTGAGACCCCACCTGGAATACTGCGTTCAGCTCTGGAGTCCCCAACACAAGAAGGACATGGAGCTGCTGGAGCGGGTCCAGAGGAGGGCCACGAAGATGATCCGAGGGCTGGAAAACCTCTGCTATGAGGACAGGCTGAGAGAGTTGGGGCTGTTCAGCCTGGAGAAGAGAAGGCTCCGGGGTGACCTTATTGCAGCTTTCCAGTACCTAAAGGGGGCCTACAGGAAAGCTGGAGAGGGACTTTTGACAAGGGCGTGTAGTGATAGGACAAGGGGTCATGGATTTAAACTGAAAGAGGGGAGATTTCAATTAGATATAAGGAAGAATTTTTTCGCTCTGAGGGTGGTGAGGTACTGGAACAGGTTGCCCAGAGAAGTTGTAGATGCCCCATCCCTGGAAGTGTTCAAGGCCAGGTTGGATGAGGCTTTGGGCAACCTGGTGTAGTGGAGGATTTCTCTGCTCATGGCAGGGGGGTTGGAACTAGAAGATCTTTGAGGTCCCTTCCAACCCTAACCATTCTATGATTCTATGATTCTCTATTGTACTTATCTCCACTAATGATGCTTCACTATCAACCCAAACTTCTAAATGCTCTTTTCTTTAGACTGCAAGAGATCAAAGTGCCAAATTTTGCACTTCTCTTCATGACTATAGGCCCTCCTCAGTATTTTGTGCCTGTCATGAGAAATATATCAGAAGTACTAACTACCTATTCTTCCAGTGTTTTTGAAAGCATATGCAAGTATATAAAAACATACACCTTTATACTGAGAAAAAGATCACATTAGTACTTGCAATTGAATTACATGATGATTTTTTTCCAAGAAACAGAAATTTATTAGGAAAGCATAAAAAAAATGGTACCAATGATTTTATTCTCCAGTTTAGGATAGTTATAGATAAGACCCACACAAAACCAGTTGTGGAACATCTCTAAATAATCAAATTATGTCTTCACAAAAATCCTGTGCTGAAGACCAGAAAGGTCTATGTAAAATTTTCCAGTCGTGTCACTGTTTGATTCACTCTGAATTGCATACAAAGTATATTCCATATACCACATGATACAGTATACTGCTATCCCTGAATTTCAAAACAAAAAAATAAACAGATTTATCTTTTCTTAGAGAGTCTAACAAGACAGATGCAGGACAATTCAGTTTATAACTGCTCACTGATCTTTAAAAAATATGTTTTATTGTTGAAGTTCATAGCCTAAATGTGCTGGTATTTATTTGGTCTTGCATTTGGTATCTTGGTAGCCATTCAAAAGATTTGCAAGCACAGTAAGATTTTGGTGCATCTCAAGGTTTGACCATTCTCCTGAGGCTCAACAACAGTATTTCTTAAGACTGAAGGGGAGAGAGCTTATTTTTAAATCCCAATTATATTAACATATCTTAAACCTTAAAATGATCAGGAGGTATGAAAATGCAATTATCTGCCTGCCTCTCAGGCCAAATATTATTGATTTCCTTTTTTTTTTCAGATCAAAAGAATTACTTTTATTCTCATTTCTTTTAATTTCTTATACTACAGACCAATCTGTCTTTATAACCGAGGCATTGAACTGTGAAAATACTTCTTCATCTCTAAGGCAGTGGAACTGCTGATTTGGTCTCTCCAATTAATTTAGAAGTCAACAAAAATATGGACCTTAGAACATAAGACCTCTGTTAGAATAAATTCCAATTTCCACATTCACCAAGCAAGCATGATTGAACAAGTGCATACAACTGGAGTGGAATACTACGAGAGACAGTTTGGCAAATGCTGTTCTGTTAAGGTTGCTTCAGCCTGATGCCACAGCATACGCTTATTGCAGATGCATTGCATTCGATAAGTGTTATCAATACCAGCTTTAATTTAAAGCGTTATGTAGGCCTGAAAACGAACAACCTTTTTAAGAAAAAAGCTGCATAATTAAGATATTCACAACTTCATGTAACCTAATAAAGGACTGTTTACTATATCACACAGAAAGCACTGTTGTCAGCAATGTGAGGGTCATCTATGAGTTACCAGCCACAATTTGTGTATTGGATACATATACACACCAGGTGCTGTTTTCTTTTTCCTGACGTAATTTTTGAACTTTTCCACTGTACAGAGGGCAGATAAGAAAGACTGAGAAGTAACTTGTTTATTGTGATCAGTACATGTATCTTCAAAAAAGCATACTCACGCCTATTAAAAAAAAAAAAAAGACTGTTCGAAAAAAATGTGACAGTGGCATCTCAAAATAGAGAGATAATAGCACCTCTGCTGTCTCTAGGAGATAAGCCAATGTCTTTTTATGGGCAAATATTTAGAAAAGTGATCAGGTGTCAAAAATGTATGCTAAAAAACCAGTTCCTAATGATGCATGTAGTTATCAAGATCATATGTCACCACAAAGCCATTAGGAGTCTGCAGACGCACAACTGAGTGTCCAAGCACAGTATGAAACCGAGTCTCGGCTCAGTATTCCCTCAGTACTTAAACACCAAGTTTGACACCAGAGATAGGAAGTGAAATTCAAAAAAACACATTTGTTTATTTTTGAACAGGATGCAGAAAAATACTAATTATAGAAAATAATGTCATGAAGGAATATTGTCACTGAATTCGGACTATCGTGCTCAGCATAGTAGTAGTAGTAGTACTAATCCTGATCAGAACTACTTTTAATTGATAAACATTTCCTAGCTTTATATTTGTGGTTCTCTTTCTAGTAAAAAAATATGTCGACAGGACTGTACACTTCTATATGATAGAGCATATAGATCCATATAATCTAGGGTTTGAAATTCTTGTTTTTGAGAGTTTTACATCCATTTTCAGAAAGACAAATTTTATGACACTCATTTTTTTCCTCAAGTTAGTCTTTAAGATATTTTTAATCAATAATCTTATGAAAAACTCAAATTACTTGAGAAGTTCTATAGGAGGAGTAGAGTTGTGTTTAAAAAATTTATACCTCTATAATCTTGTTCCAGATAGGACGATGAGTGGTAGCATCCCAGAGGGTAATGTGTTTGTCATGTCCACAAGTGAAGAACTGAGGTCTAGAGGAATGGACTGCAAGTCCCCAAAGCTCATCAGTGTGACCCTACGCAAGCAGAAATGTTTCTTGACGAGGACAGTACCATCAAAACTAAACATGTTTAAACAGGATTAAAATGACCAAATTATATATTAATGCATTAGAAAAATAGGTTGGCTTAGATAGATGCATATTTATAATGTTATTTATTGCCAAAAGTACTGTAATAACAAATCAAACAGATACGTATTGATGAAAATAACTTTAAGCAATACCTTTACTGTTATTACACACTTAGAAATGTTCTTGTAAGGCAACAGCTTACCTGGGTAATTGGGAAAAAATCTCCTGATAGCGTGCCCTGTAGCACAAAGTTTCTAGTAGTTCCTATTAATACGACGTCCCCTTTTCCCTCTGCTACTGTTCTTATTGGACCAAACTGCTCTGGAATCTGTGGTCATAACAGACAAACAGATAGGTAAGTCAGACAATTTGTCAAGCGTTGCTATTTTTAAAGACATATGGCCTAGCAAATGCATTTTACTAAGTGTCGCACAGAGAATAAAGGAAATGGATGGACATACATGTCTGACTTTCAAAAGTCTATAACACCTTGCATCAGCTCAGTAACTGTCTTTATAACACTACAACAAAAGACATCCTTATCTATGGAATACTCCATTTGTACAGATAAACCAAGTATTTCAGCAAACAGAAAAGGCTCCTTCATGCCATGCTAACTTGATCATATTTTAATTGCAGCTGTGATATCAGACTAAACATTTCTTCTCAGAGACAGTGCCAGGCTTTCTATTGCTAGTATTTTCTTGCAAGGTATGTTTCTTTAATTGCAGCCTAGGTTATGAAAGAGTCAGTGCAAATCTCCAATATAAAGTTCAAGGGAAGATGTACAACTGAAAATAACAAGGAATACCGCTGTATGAACAAATAAGAGAAAAAGAAGGATGTCATGGTTAGAAACAGCACAACGGGCATGCAACTTGTGCTGTGTTAAAAACTGAACCACCAAAACAGACATGCCATTCCAGTTGTGTATATATTTGCAACATTTAATAATACAGAGTAGAGTTGAAACTCTTCCTCAGTTTTATGCTGATTGTTCTCTTACATTCAGCATGCAAACAGTCATGTAGTTCCTTCAAAACAAATTCTGCTTTAATCTTTTAAGTTCCTACATAGCAACCACATTCATTTTCAGAATTTCTTTTTTAAATAAAAATAACACTAATCAAGAAATTAGTGAAAAAATGTAAGTACTAAAAAACAAAATAAAAATCCTCCTTCCTCAAAATAAAAATTTTGGAAAAGAGGAAAGTACAACAACAATTTAATATTGTAATACTCTGAAGTGAAAAATGACCTCACATTATAAACTGCAAAGAAAGGAAGAAATAATATAAAAAAGTATGAATACAAGATTTGTTTTCCAATTATCATAAATCTTAAAAAGGAAATATTATGTTAATGAACAGGCTATCACAAGAATGATCTGATGACGCAAACGATATCACATTTTACCATTGATTTGCTTTCCCACAGAATACGCATTCATAAGAAAAAAATTGATTTAAAAAGCTGTGTGCAGAAGATAGCTAAAATTTCATTTTGAGTAGCAGAGTAATTTCCAGTTAGCTGATATCACCTCAGTTTTGTGAAGTTTTTGGTAATTTCCATTCCAAGATATCAGCTTTCGGTCTTTTCCCCCTCCTGATACCAGTGTACCGTCTCGCAGCATACACAGCGCAAATATTCCACCCTCATGTGCCCCTTGAACCGCGTGGCTTATTCTGTTGGTACCTGGATAGATGGAGAAAAGGTATTACTACTGAAATACTCAGCTTAGTAGCTTCTTTTTCTTGTTTTATTTCTCCATTTCTCTACTACCTGTCAAGGATTATATCTAAACAATGACAATGGCAGATACGGAGTGTTTCACCAAAATGCTCGGACCCACAGAACAGACTGATTTAGTACATCTTAAAAATATATTCCCCACATCTTAAAAATGAAAAGTATACATATTCACTCAGTCTAGTTCAAACACAAAGTAAAAATAAGTTCGTTTCAACCTTTCAGAGGGTTTTCAGCTAAACGGTTTGAAACGACATTTGATCTGCAGTAGCACTACACGCCTCACAAAGAAATCACAACCAGTCACTCATTATCTTCCACGGATATCCCGCAGCCTCCAGTCACCTCACCTGCACCAAAACCCAACTAAGCTAGAGGTCTTTATACATCCGGCAGAAGGTGCTGAATCAGTCTCCGAAAGAGCCTATAAATCCTTATTAATGAGCTTGGCTTGTTCAAGTACCTTCTTAGACTAAAACCACCTTCTAACCAGCTACATTATATTAAACAACTCTTATTTGATGAACTATTAATATTATGAAGTATAAAGAAACAATTACTAGTATCTATCCCTGTTTCTTGCAGGGGGTTGGACTAGATGACCTTTGAAGGTCCCTTCCAGCCCTAACCATTCTATGATTCTATGATTCTATGATCTAGAATCATAGAATTCTATGTATAATCTAGTATAGATCTAGGAAGAAACAACTGCTTTTTCCTTAATAAATCCTGTTTGCTTCTATCCACATCTATCAATACAAGAGGAGTTGTTGCTAAGGTACTCCGGCCTCGTGGAAGCAGTCCTTACTTAAACACAGAGCTCTGCGTCAAAAGCTGTAAAGACACATAAAGTACGCTGTACTAGGATAGAAAAATAAGAACATTTTTGTCTGTCTCAAAAGAACTGGCAGAGGTGAGGAGATCTTGCAGCATACAAAGAATTGGGATACTCCAAGTATATTGGTCAAAAGCAGAAAGAGAAAATGGGCTGATAAACTTTGGATGAAAAAAGTCTACAAAAACAGCTGAGTAAGGCTCAGCTGTGTAACTGATTCACCATGTTGCTTTCCAGGTCTTATATCCTTTGAGTATCTTGGGAGAAGGCTCTGAGCAAATAAGAAGCAGCTGTGATCCATATCCCTTCTTCCTTTACTAATAAGGACTCCTTTAGGGGATTCTCCTTATTCCTATGCATGGGATCTCATGCACTAAGTAAACGTTTAGGATGTTGCTGCTGTTTGCCCTCCGGCAGGCATTGCCTTCTGCTGCCTAAAAAAAAAAGTCTTTTCTTTCCAGAAAATGCTTTTGAAGAAGTTCGTCCTATCCATCTGTTCTTTTGAAATAAAGCTGAGGAATTCAATTAGATCTGCACACATTTTTGCTTGACTTCCTAGGAAAACAAATAAAGCTATTTGTTGTTGTTGCAAAAGTGTATGTCAATAGGCATAATTTTTGCAAACACAACAGAGTGACAGTATAGGGGACTGGAGATCGCCAGTTACATTAACAGTGTTTCTTACTATCTCATCGATTAAGGAAAAGAACTTTTCCTGCCACTCCTTACATCAGTAAAGTCATATGTCCTGGCATAGCTGTATGATTCAATGCTTGACCATAAGGAACACATTCTATAGAATTTTGTGCTCTAGCAGTCAAGTATATGTTCTTTAGGAGCTTGTGGAGGATAATCCAGAACTCATCTGCTGGATTGGTCTTGGCAAAGAATTTAGGATAAACAAAATTTACTCTTCTTAAAATGAGATTACACTCATGTAAAAATTCAGAGTATTGCATATTAACAACTCACTATTAACTTCAGTCTTGTCTTACCTTTCCCCCAAACCAAAATGTTTCCACTTGAGTCTCCTGTAATCGTATCACCATTTTCAGAAAAGGTCACACACAGGACAAACTTTGGTTTCTCTTGTTTCTGCATGGTTACAAAAAACATACACATAGAGCAACACACAAACCACTCAGTTTAACTGTGGGCATTTGAGTAATTCAATTTAGTCTTACAGAGTTCTATTATTGCTTAAATGTCTACACAGATGTTAGACACATTCCCACAGTCTAAACAGCTAATTTGCCTAAGGGCAAAAGATGCACCAGCTGAGGCTGGTGGCCCAGTCCTGCACTCTTCAATTACAAGTTGTGGACAGAGCAAGTGAGAAGGCCTGCCAACTTTTAACACAAGACCAGGAATGCTCTGAGATAAACCAAATTCCCCAACTCTCACATAATCCCAAAGGCTTTAAGTATTTAGAAATGGCTGAAGGTGCAAACAAGCTTTATTACTGCAATCTTTAACTCCAAAGTTTCCAGGAGAAAAGTATTACTAGAGAGTTTCACTGCAGCATAAGAATTAAGAAATCATCTCTTGAAAGAATTCTAAGGTTCAGTAACGGAAACGTTACTTTGAGACCCTGCACTTCAAATACTGACAGCAACAAAATAGCGAAATATGTAAGGGGGTGAAAAAAAAAAATCACTAGTTAGTAGCTTCCAAGTACATTATTTACAATGTTTGTTGACTACTAGTGTGCAAGGCCTCTTTCTCCCTCAAACTAAGACTGTTCTCAACTACAGCCACCACGCTTTTCTGTCTGCAACAACTATGGAGAACAAGAGGCAGAAATCTGCCTAAGTAGCTTAGAACTTAAAAATGAATGAAAAATAAAATCTAACAAAATTTAAATTAATTCTCTCAGCATCTTCTCCTTATTTCACACAAAGTATATAAATTGACATTGCAGAATAGTTGTTTTGACTCCACAAGCAGTTAACTAGGCCCTGTTGGAGTTATCTGCAGCCACCACAAACATCCCTCATTTGTGCATGCAACTGCTGTACAGCTTAGTCTATATTTAAGAACAAAACCAAATCAAGACTTTGAAATGAAAATTATATTTACCAAATAATGGCCAGCTCAATCTGTATTTGAATTACATATGTGTATGTATCTGAGCAGAACACAGGAAAAGGGAAGAATATTCATATTCACATAACTTATGGGGTTTTCCAAATCTTTCCTCTGACAAGATAAAAAAACCCAGCATATAACACATTCTCTTTTTTTTTTTTTTTAACCTGAGGTGAGTATAGAGAGCTTTAAGGTAATCTTTTTTTTTTTTTTTTGATGGGGTTACATTATAAAGAATATAGGAAAAGCAATGCAAGAAATCAAATGGTAATTGCATTTTAAACCTTTAGAGTAGTGACAACCCATGGAAAAGCTCTCAGTGCCATGCCCTGAATGCCTCCTGAATTTCCATAAAATTTCAAGTCTAATAATGATCAAATGTTTTGATTCACTCAAACCTTATTAACCCTTGCTTCTGTATGACCGTACTATTACCAAAAAAACCCCACAAAATTAAGGAAATAGTTTACCTCAAATAATCCTTGCTTTTTAATAAGGGAATTTCCTTCTAGTGTCCAAAAATAAAGGTGTGATTTTCCACAAGTAACTATTATATTTGTATCAGTAGGGTGAAAATCTGCAGCAAATACAGCCTCATTAGAGCACTTGGAAGGAAAAAGAAAAACATTGTATCAAAATTTAAAGTTCAAATAAACCAAAACAATATGAAATTGTTCTCTAGTTAGATTAACTGTTCAACTCCCAATATAAGAAAAATTCTGAGTCATTCATTTATTTATGTAGTCTGCATTACTTTGGTAAGAGTTCTTTGAAGCCAAAAGATTCTATGTTTTTGTAGGTTATTATCAAAAGCTATCCTTCAAAACCATGTCAGATAATGAGAAGTTCTACACAAAAGATTAGTTTGAGACGTTTCTTTTCTGCACATGCTCTTATCATTGCTTCCTAGACTTTTCTAATCAATTCTAGAATAGCTACAATAGGAAAATTTAAAAAAAGCTATTGGGATAAATCTCAACAGTGAGAGGAAACATTCCCTTTCCTCATGTTCTCTGCCTTTTATAAAATAAAAGTGTTAAAAAGGTACAAGAAGTTAAATAGAGAACAACATTTTATGACAAGAAATCCAGATCTACATACAAGCAAGGAGTACAAAATATCTTATTGCAACACCTTGACATCTGCCAGCTTTTCCTCTTTCTGCCAGTCCCACACAGAAAGCACGTGGTCGTTTGAGTCATCCACAGAGCACAGGCTACTTCCTCCATTCTGAGGTAAAACATGGAAAATATTAATGCATTCTCCAACCAACATTAGAAAAATATAAATACACATTCAAAACAAATACTTCTGTGTAGATGAAAGTGAAATATTTATACTTTAACTGTTATATTTTCAGATACCACATAGATCTCCATGAAATGTAATAATTCACAGGATCATTGAAAAATAGGGCTGAAAAGGATCTAGAAGAGGAACTCTTCCAAACTGCAGACAAACAGACTTTGTCAGGAACGAAGTAGGTATCTCTTTTTAAACATTCAGTGATGACAATTCCCAAGTACGACGTTATATACTATTAAGAAAGTGTTTCCTCATAATTACACTGAGTTTCTTTCGTTGCAATTTAAATCAATTACTTGTTGTCAGATCTGCTGTGGACACAGGGAAAAATTTTACTCTTCATATAGGAATAATGGAGCAAGATGAGGGAACATAGTAAGAAATTTTAAAACAACTTATTCCCCACAGGTGTCCTTTTTTATAGTCATGTCTTCTATCAGTCTTTTTAATCTTAATGACCTTAATTCCTTTAGTCTTTCTTCATGCATCATATTTCCTAGACCTTCTCCAGTCAGTACCCATTTTTCTAATGTGTGAATTCAAAGACTGGATGAGGAACTCCAACTAAGACTCTACATGAGCTGAGGGGAGGTGACCAACACGGCTCACACTAGGGATGGTCACTGCTTTACAATCATCAGATCTTATTCCAAACAGTAGCTATCTGAAAGGTAGTTTTTGGACCATTTTTTCCAATCTTTGGTGTTCATTCCTGGCTGTGTGTCTACAGTGGAATAAACCATCAAATAATGTCTAATTGCTTTCCAACCCATTCAAATGATTTTTGTATCCTGTTGCTCCTGGCATCAGCTATGTTAGCTTTGACTGCCGATGAGCTTTCCGGAACAGACTGAGCCTGTGGTTACACAGGCACTCCTTTGGCAGCAACACTGACACAAACAGTCCTTCTTCTGTCACGCAGAGCTCAGTCGCTTGTTGCTGCCTCTTGAGCTGAGTCACCACAAAAGTTTGGGCTACCATAGAGTGAGCCTGTTTGGTGAACAGATCAATTTTTTGGGGGGGAAAAAGACTCAAGCTTACTCCACTTCATTTTATTTATATGTAAGGTTGCTTTGTCGTTTTCTTGATGAATCAGCTCCCTAATACACATCTCAGACATAGCTACAAAAATAACTGTGCCAACACAACTCGAGAAGTGAGACAGAGACAGGACTGAGTAGCCTGAAGAGAGGGCTGTCTAAGATGAGATAAGCACTACTGCTATGGGATGGGAAGTAATGCTGAAAACAGGCCAAGCTCTGACTGTGAAATCACAGCATAAAGCAAACATTAAACATATATGTCATCTGCCAATGGCAATCCTCTGTTAGTGAGTACGTAGTTCTTCCTCCAGGAAGATACTTACAGAGTATTTGCTTGCTATTCATTTTCATTCATCCTCTAAAGGAGATCTCGAACTGAGTTGTCTTTCACCTTTGCATTCTTTACCAGCTCTCCCAATTCACTCCTCTTTTCTACTTTCTATAAAATATTGTCACCAATAGGTTTCAAGTACTCATGGAAACTTTCACTAAACTACATTTTGCCTATGGAATACAACATTGAATCCTCTCCTCTTTAAAAATGCTGCCAAGACAACCAGACAACACACATACACTGCTTACAGATGCTGTTCTACATGGAGGGTTTCTAGACTTGCACGTGTCAGGTTACAAATTCATGTTCTTATGTGGGACTCGAATACTGTCTATGTCACCTTGTTTTTTTTTTCACATCTCTCATAGACTAGAGTTCAGAGGATGGTGTACCAAAATTAGAGGTACAGGCCATTGTAAAGTTTTTCTTTAGTCATTCTTTGACACATTGCAGGGGGTTAAAAGCTGCTGAGAGAATAACTGTCTTACATAGGGAGAAACACAATGGGACGATTAAAGAAAAGAAAATTTTGAGAATACAAGTATTTCTGCAACTGCTTGTCCCTAAAGAAATTAATTGCATTTATAGTATGCGTAAAGTAGACCTCTGAGACTGCTGAGATACTGCTAATCTTAATAATGACATAAACTCTTGGAAACAACTGGGTTGCAAAGTTTCTTCCTCTAAAGAAGAAGCTGAGAGAAAAGAAAGCTTGGGTGGATGATCTACTTGGGGATATGGTTTAATGGGGATTAGGGATGGTTGGACTCGATGATCTCTAAGGTCTTTTCCAAACTAGAAATCTATGAATCTATGAATTTGTTTTGCTCAAGTACGCTGAAGTTGAAAGACTTCAAAGACCTGTTCAGCAAACATTCTTGATATGACTATTCATTTACTTACAGATTTAGAAAAAGCAATGCAAGTGACAGCTCGGTCAAAAAACCCCATTCCGATGACATGCAGTGTATTCAGAGTTACAGAGTCCCAGACACGCACGTGTGGTGGCAATTGCTATAAAATAGAGACAGAAATAACAGCTGAAAGTTATTGCAGGTAGTGAAAGCCATCAAGATTTTAAAAAATGAAAACGCATCCAAAAAACATTCTAACACAACTTAAAGTATGAAAATTATCAGAACTTCTCTGGGATCACCCGTGTAAGCACAGATACACTACCAATGACGTGCTGATTACTGCGCCTAGGACCAATATCTGTGACTGACTGTCCGGAGCATCCAGCACGTCAGCTCTTACTGATCTTTTTACTTCACTGAAGTTAATGGACACCGAGACATTCTTCATTAAGCGGAAACTGTTCATACCCTTGTGGCACGGGACCTACTGGTAGGTCCAGGACCATCTGTTTAAACTGTAGCAACCGAGATAATTCTGGCCAATGTCAAACAGCACGTGCAAAAAAAAAAAAACAAACCACAAAAAAACAACAAATTAAGAATTTCTAAAACGTAATTAATTTCAGTGTCACAAAAACGGCCGTAGAAAAGAACCGTACGACTGTGACCAGAAGGAACTTTTTTTGCACACGAAATTCAAGGCGTGATACAGAAAGGCCCAGGCCAAGTGCCGGTGCGAGCCCGGCGGTTCCCGCTCCCTCCCTCGCCCCAGCGGAGCGCGGCGGGGGCGGGAGCGCGGCGGGAACGGGAGCGCGAGCGCGGCGCCGCGCCGCTA